GCTAGGTTTATTGGCAGTCCTAAATGATACCCTCCCCTCTTGCCCTACGATACCCGGGACAGGCTCCAACCCCCTGCCACTGTAAACTGGATAAGTGGAAGAAGATGCAGATGTATCCCTCAGTTTCCAGGCTTTATGAACAGCTAATCTAAGATGCAGGTATTTGTAGTTTCACTACAGTCTTCACACTTGACAAGAAAACCACAAATAAACAGCGTTTCCAGCCGAGAATTTGCAGTAAAATTATTTTGAAAATCTTTGACAGAAAAGCCAATGCTCGGAAATGATTTGGGATATATTTGGGATTTGGAACTGTCATTCTATCTATCCCACACACACAAGTTGAATTTATAATATGCAAATGAATAGAAGAAAAAGTCTATACAATATCCCTGAGCTCTCTTTGTGGTCACTGCTCTCAGCGTGACAGATAAAGAGCTTACGCGAGCGTAGCAGAGTCCACCTTCCCGGTCACCTCCAGTCCATACAAGCGCTGCATGTCGCTGATAGCTTTGGACATAATCTGAGCCGACTGCATGGTGGACATCTGCCTGCTGGCTTGAGACAGGTAGCCGAATTTACGGAGCCATGCCTGCGTGGAAGGAAAATAGAAGAAGTCGTCAGATTTGCTTTGTGCATGAGGAATGCATGGTGTATACATGAGCGCGACAGCCCAGCTGTTGGAAGAGCAGCATCTGAGGGGTCGGAGGAAAGAGAAAGAAACATAAAGCAGATGGCTCGCATTAATACCAGGACATTCCTGCTCCTTCGTTCCTGTTTTGACAGCCAAGATGGGGAGAAAGGAGAGAAACGGGAAAACTGACATTAAATAAATTGCACGTCAGTCCTGTGGGTGCACCAGCTACACCTACAGCTCTGCGTGAGCGCCTGATGTCTGAAAGAAGCGTCACATGTTGTGAATTATTCTTCTTCGTTTCATGTTTGATGGCACTGAAACTGAGCCACGAAGTCGCAAAACAGGATGATGGCTCCAGATGGGGGAGGGGGGGTCCTGATGTTAGGTAACATCTGCCTTATAAGAAGCCTCAGCAGGAGAACACGAAAAACCACACATGCAACGCGGCTTCGTGCGCACTGAGACAGAAAATCCTTGGAGGTTTTTTGCGTAGCAGGA